CTTCATGGGTGGAGTTTCTTCAGTCATCTGAGAGGGAGATCGAGAAGCCCGGCTTCTCCACCTCCTCTGTCTGCAGAGAAAGGTCAGCTCCTTAACTGTGGTAGACCCAGCCCACTTCAGTGAATGCTTCTTCACAAAGTGCATAGGAGAGGAACGCAAACTTCAGTTACATTTCCAAATACACTCCAATACCAGGAGAGCACCTTGATCTCAGATTAGTTTTTATTTTGTGTGATTTTTTTTTTCCAGAAAGCTGTGTGATACTGTTAGTATACTTGAATTTCAATTCAAGATTATAGCAATATTTAACAATAAACAGTGATGAAATTATGATTATAAAAATTGGCCTCTACATCTTCTAATGTCCAAGGAATGGAAAAATCCTGACCTTTTTGTGGATGCTTTAGAACTTAGGATAATGCCATCATAATTGACAGGTGACGTGCTAAGGAGCATAAATCACTGTCTCCTGAGATGGGCCAGAAGAAGCGTGCAGAGAAACAAGATGGCCTTTCTGTTAGAAGCTAATATTCCATCCAAGGTGTTAGTGCAAAGAAAACGTAACCAAGAGCATTGGGATCTGTGCTGGAGGCTTCTAGTCAGCCTCACACGCTCTGATGGAAGACTGTGAACCAGAAGTCCCTTTGGCACAGCGACGGGTTGTCTGACCTTGAACTGCATTTCAAAGCTAAGCTCCTCCAGAGCGAATTAATTTATAGACACAAACGAAGCCGTTTGATTTATTATTTGGAAAGGGTAAGGTGTGGGGCAGGGAGAAGAAGGCTCAGTCGGTGGAGCTCTTTCTGTGTAAGCCTGAGGACTTGGACTTAGAACCTGGGATCCGCAGTGGGGACACTGGGATGCGAGACCAGTTAGACTTGCTGGGTGGGTGAGCTCGTGGTCAGGGAGAAACTCAAAAAGTACTGTGCAGAGTAACAGAGGAAGACACCATCATTCAACCTCTGCCCTGCACCCAGAAAAATCACACAATGTGTGATCGCACGGTGTTGGAGTCTATTTAGAAATGTAATAGTAAGTCCACGTTCTCCCCCCATGTTCTTTGTGGAGAAGCCGTGGATGAAGTGGGCTGGGCCTATGACACATTTAAAGTCTGGCCCTTCAAGGCAGAGAGAGAAGGTGAAGTCACACAGATTTTGTAATGTCATTGTTTTCTCTCCCTAAGTCACTTTTAAATTGCAAAAGGTTGGCTTGGGTGATATCATATAAAAGTGCTCCGGTAGTGAATTAAATATGGGAGATTTCCCTAGCTTAACAGACAGAAGCTTCTTGAGAGGTTTTTCTGTGATTTGTATTAAACCCCAACCAAGTGCTTGATGCTCTGCACTGGTGCTGGTGTGTGTATTTTTATTTATTTGTATTAGTGCTGGTGTGTGTATTTTTTGTTTATAAGTAATGGTGTTAGTATATGTATTTTTTAAGTATCTTACAACCCATCTTTATAATTCCTTTCTTTTCTTGGGGTGAATTCAAATGTTGTGGTATCTGATTTATTTTAGAATTACATTTCATTGCAGTTGAGGAAGCTTCTTGTACGGCTGGTGTTTTAGTGTGTTTTGACATGGTCCGGAATGTTGAAGAGCATACACCTCGCGCCCTGTCGTTTATGGTCGTGGATTTCTTTCACCCCATGGTATTTCCCTTCTTTTATTAATGTGGGGTAGTTGGACTTGAGACATGGGAAGCGCATCCTCTAGTCGGTGGAATGTGTGCTTGTTCCACTTATTAAAAATGAGACAGAAACTCGTGGCTTCTTTTTATCCTGTTTGAACTGGGGATGGAAAGGTCTTGTGTGCGTTATGCAAGCACTCACCACTGGGCTACAGTCCTCGCCTCACAGATCCTTTTTCAAGGAAGAATGAAAATCTTAAAAGTATAGCTTCATCAGTTTTCCTAACCCCGCCCATGGAACCGCCTCTGGCTCCCATTCCAATTCATGGCCTCCTTTTCTTTGGTTGTTATCATTCTGGATGTTTAAACATGAAAAAAAAAATGTAAAACAACCTGCTGAGTTGCTTTCCTGTTGCTTGTGTGTGTAAGATTTCAGAACCGACCACTTGCTATGGGATAACCAATTAGGAGACTCATCCTGGGGAAGACAATTTTCCCCTCTCTTAGCATTTCCTAGTTATCTGTAGTTGTTTGTCTAGGGGTGGAACCCTGTAAATTTCCCCTCTTTCTTGTTAGCATGTTCACTGGTGGGTTCACCCTTCAGATCTTGTTTGGATTTTTGGTAAAGCTTCCCTGTCGTTTTTTAGCAGGTCCAGTTTCCCAGGAGACTTTTTTCTCTGGCTTTTTTTTTTTTTTTTTAAGATTTAAACTGATTGGCCCATTAGCTCAGGTTTCATATTAGATCTTGTTGCTTTTGTTAACCCATTATTCTTATCTTTGTTAGTCAGATGGTTCAGTACCTTTTTCAGCAGGGCAGATCACAACCTGCTTCTTTGGTGATCTGGGCAGGACTGGGAATGAATGGGCTTCTTCTGTCCTGGAATTCTGCTTTCCTCATTGCCCTACCTTTAATTCCTTTCTGGTTGTCCCATCTATACTTCCTGCCTGGCCAATTAGTATTTATTGAAAACAAGATTGACAGAATACAGACAATTCTCCCACACAAATGATGTTAGTTTTTGACTAGGTGTTCCGTGTCAGTAGGTCAGTAGGCCTCAGGGTCTTCAGAATTCTGTTCCACTGAATAAAGATCCTTCTTTTTTTTTTTTTTTTTTTGTTCTCTGGCTTTTACAATCCTTCAGCTCTGCTCTTCCACAATCTTCCCTGAGCTTTGGGTGAGGGAGTTGTCTTGTAAATGTGTCAATTAGGAAAACAATTATAAGCGAAGGGGATTTTATAAGTATTAGAGAGTTAGTGTTTTAGTATACATAACATCCTTTGTTTTCATTTTTTTCTCTAAAACTATAGCTTTTATAGATTGTTTTTAGTTTCCAGACGTTTGTGGGATGGTAGAAAGGAATAGCTGTATTATATGTTTTGGTTTTTTAAATGCCGCTGAAGTATATGGAATTATTCTTTGCCTCAATGTAGTTGGCGAATTTTACTAAGAAAGCTGTGGTATGTGATAGACTTATTCAAACATATTCTTACTGTTTTGTTTAGGTTTATAAAATCGGTGACTTTATGTGTGTGTGCACAGATGTCGGCACCTGTTGATTGCATTAAGCATTTGATGTCTCCTAATGAGGGATAGAAAAGGTGCTTCCGCGCAGTTTTAAGTGGATCTTTTCTCCGAGGTGAATTGCGTACATTCTACATTCTGTATTCTGTGACCTTGCAGTCATGACTTCAGCCCAGAATAGTTTCAAAGTCATGTAAATGAATGCAATTAAGGTATTGCTTATCATCGAACATAGTTCAGAGGGATCCTTACTGGGTAGAAAGGTTTGCTGGCCCTATGAGAAAGGTCAGAAGAAGGTTAAATTTTATTACATAAAATGATATGGCACTGTTTTTATTTAGCTGGCGAAAAACTAGTGTCATAATAAAAAATCATAATGGTTTATTTTTCTTCTTTTCTCTAGTTTGCTGGATGTCTTCCTTAAGTTTTGTTGTTGGTTGGTTGGTTTTTTTTTCTTTGTTTGGTTTGCTTGACTATTTATTTTTTCTCTAGAAATAAACTCCTTTAAAGGAGATACTTTGTGTCTCCTTGTAAACGACATGGGACATTGTACTCAGAGTCCTAAGTCTAGGTGTCTTTGAGTAACACATGCAAGCTGAAGTCCTGGCTGCTAATAGTAGGTGGCTCTGGGCTGGCTAGCGGATGTCCTTAGAGGACTTGTGACGTGCCAGTTCACAGAGCAGGTGGCACAGGACTTTGAGACGGTAGGAACTGGAGTTCCACCACGTGGGTAGACCGATTGTGGGGTGGAGAGACACTGGAGAGAGAACTGACCGTGGGTGTCAATGTGTGGATGGGAGATGTAGTGGTTGCGAGCTGGCTTGGTGAGCGTGGGAAAGCATCGCACGTGTACGATTCTAAGGAAGCTGAGAGATGCCAGCAAAATAAAGATGGACTAGCTGCCTCTTTTCGGTAGGTTTGTATTCTGGTTGATGGATTTCTGTTTAGTGTGGCTGTGATCCTGGAGAACTGATCATAAGTTATGTATCAGACACTGAAGAGGTCAGCAGTGTGAACTCCTCGTGTGTCCAGTGGAACAGGGCTGTAGTGAGATCAGGGTGTGTCTACTGTACCTTCCCCGCCTCTGGCTGACTGCATCGTTTGCTGGCCCATTGATCAGCATACCGTTTACAAAGCTATTGACTGGTCTGCAGTGGAGGTCAAGTCTCTGCTGGCCAAAGTTTCTGGCAGCCAAGCGTGTTCAGCTTGTAGCCCTTGGTCTGCCTGCGCCCCAAGATAGCTATGAATAGGGCCCAACACAAAATCTTAAGTACTTGAAACCCAGAGAGGAAGAGAAAGGGGTGGGGAGGGGAAAATGAGCCGCAGTCCTGCAGTTCTTGAACTTGGCCTTGTTGAGTTGGAATTTCGAAAGGTTGGACACACCTGCAACCGTTCCCAAAGCACTGTCATTCTGAATTGGGGATGGTTCTGATTCTGATGTGAGCTGACCTCCTCGGAGAGGAGCAGCAAGGTGTTTCAAACTCTTCAGTGAATGTCGAATACTTCCCAAGTGCTTTGTCCCAGAAATCCTCCCATGGTCCAAACTCCTCTGTACCCTCAACATTAACTTCTCACACCTTGGAGAGCGGGGGTTGGTGTCCTGTTAGTGTGAAGACAGGTGGTGTCTTTTTGCAAGTAATTCTATGCCACAGGTAGTTGAAGTAGATGTGGTCAGCAGCCACACTCGGGGAAGGCATGTGTGCGTGAGAATCTCTCACAGCAATACATTTATGTGCTGTTTCCTTGAGATTGTGCATTTTAGTCCATAGCTACTACGCCATTTTCAGACACATTATCGAAATCATTACATTACTCAAGGTAACACGTTATCTCTCCTTCTTTCTTTCAGAAGTGTGTGGATTGCGAGCTATTGCAGAACTCTGTTCTCAGGATCCATTATTTTAACATTTGGGAGAAACACATCCGAAAGGTATTGCACTTTGTCTCGTCACTCCATTTTTAAAATAAATTACATATAGTGATAGGAACATGAGACTATTATGCTTTATTCTGTTATTTTCTTTAACTTTGATCTGTTGTTAAACTTCCATCCCATCCAGTCCCATTATTTCTTGGGCTGTTAGGAGGCGCGATGCAGTAGGTTCTGATGGCCTGGGTGTGATGGAGCAAAACCGCTCCCATCTTTCCGGAGAGGGAGCAGGTGTAAGGTGGGGGTTGGGTGGGGGTGGGAACAGAAAGATGTACCCTTGGAAGCCACATCCCTAGCAAACTTCTTCTTCTAGCCTAGCCAGGCCCACCCTCCTAATCACCCATTCAGTTGTGAATTCATCAGAGGTTTAATCCATTGATGAAGTTAAATCCCTCATGATCCATTTCCCTCTGTAAAGCCCTGAGCGCTGGAACAAGCCTTTAACAAATGAGTCTTCTTGGGGACCACTTCATAGCTAAACCCCAGTGAAAAGGTTTTCTTCTTAACGGCCTGTTCCGTCCTGCTTCTGTCTAGTGTGTCTCCCTTAAACAACATTGCTGGCTCTCTTGCTTGGAACAGAAATAGATCATGGAAGACTACATAAATATAATTGGTGATATAATGTGTCTGTTAAGGTTACAGTGAATAATGAGCTGTTAAACTATGTCTTCGCTAACTGAATATTCATGGTCCACACTCATGGGAAACAGCAAATACCAGTTTAATAAATTATCTTAATCAGTTCCTAGGCACTATGAATACTGAGGACAGGGTGAATATTGCTTTGTTTCCCAGAGTATGGGAAATCTTCGTTCTGAGATATTTTGCTCTGAAAAATTCTTAGAATTTTTACTTGGGGAGATTATATGCTTAGACATCTTGGAGTTTTAAGGAATTTGAAATTATTTTTATTATTCAAAAATAAGAATTACCTATTATAATTGCACATTTAAAGATAGAAGCATTCAAGTATAGAGGTAAAGAGAATTGTTCCACTCTCCAGCCCTCATTCATGGAAATGTATCATTATCCCAGGATAATCAAGGACTGTACGATGAGCCTCGAACTGGACGCCACTATTAAAGGGAAACTCAGTATTGAACTGAAGCATTAAGTGGAAAACCCCTCTTAAAAATTCAGAATAGGAATTGTTTTGAAGCAATGTCTTTGAAGATATAGTATGTGAGGCCTCTTTTTTAAGAAAAAAAAAAAACCAAACCAAACAAAACAAAAGCAAAAACTGTCCACTTATAAGACATTCTTTCCCTGAAGCATAACTTTAACCTGCCAAGGAGCCATCCTTCCTTGGGAACTCTGTGGAAGTGTGTTCCTCAGTTACCCGCCCACGGGTGTGTCCAAGTGTCTTCTATGCAGTGTGCAAAGCAGTCCCTCTGGCACTTGTTGAAAGACACGTATGACCGAGATTCCATCTGGTGAGCACAGAACGTCCCTTTTTTTACCCTGTTAGCCACTCACTAGCACGGCCTCTCTGTGCCTTGGTTACTTTGATGTCAAACGCGGATCATTATTCAAACTTAACTTTTACACCCAGACTGTAAGGAACAAATACAATTCCCCTTCTCTGCAGTGGATTTGTCCCAATCCCCAGTGGATCACTCGGCGTTAATTTTGATTTCTGTGTACTGGCTTCACCTGTACGCAAAGCAGTGTGGTACCCTTCCTCTCTTAAATAAGCCTTTCTTGTACCCATGACGTCTGCAGTTTGAAGTATTACAGCAAAACCAACACAGATTTCTTCTTAATTTCCTGGGTAGATTTGTTTTTCCCCAAGACCACTATAGCAACCTCAGTATGAGTATTTTTCTTCTAAGTAAGGAATTTTTATGTTTTCACCGAAGGAAGCTCCTCATGGTTCCTTTGATGTACAAAGGGCCATTACTAAGTCAATAACGCAGTACTATGACAGTGACTCTGATACCGTGTGGTTTCCTGACGAGGGCACAGGTAACCTATGCAGAGTGGACACGCGGCACAAAAACATGCTTCTCCTCGTGGGAATCGATGGCGAATTCATCATGTTTTTCCGCCGTGTGTAGTTTAAGATTTAGGACTTGCCCGTCTCGACTTCTCCAGCTATTATTTTTAGATCATAGTCAATCAGAGAAAACTGAATTCACTGGAAGGGAAACTCTCATTCATTCTAGGTTCTTACATGAATTATCCAGAGAGCTCACTTCATTCTTACTGTATTTTAAATCACTTCTAGAATTACCCAATACACTGTAAGTGGCATGGAAATCGCTGTGTATGATACAGTTTAGAGAATAATATCATAGTTGTTATTATTATGCAATCATTAATATATAATACTGATGTCAGTACTCTAAACTGTATCGGGGGTCAGGACAATCTCTATGCTCTCAGGAAATAGACACCCCCACTAAATATTTTCCATCCAATTTGACTAAATCCATAGATGCAAAACCTTTATATATATATATATATGGGGATGGGGGCACCCCCCATATTTCTCTTTGACCTGTGCAGACATGTGGGGTAACCACATATATATATATGGGGATGGGGGCACCCCCCATATTTCTCTTTGACCTGTGCAGACATGTGGGGTAACCACATCACAGCCACGTTTACTTGAGGTGTATGGAGAATGCTGGCCTTAGGAGTCTGAAAGTTACAGTAAGCCCAAGTGCTTCATATAGACTCTTCATCAACGTGTTCTTGCATTTCCTGATATGTAAACTGAGGCTACCCCATACATCACTGAATCCTGTGACAAGTGACCAAGGAAACAGAGTGTGTTGTCCCCAGCGTACTGGCAGAGAAGAAGATGCTGCGGATACTGCGGGCCGCTTGGCATTTTAGTCCATCACTGTGACTCAGTTGCACATCCTTCTGAATCAGGACTTGTTCCACACGTCAGCTTTTCTTTCTTGTACTTTTTTTTTCTTTCCCTATGCTTACGAATGTGTAGCCTTAGCTTTCCTAACTTAAAAAGCCCGTTTCCCTTTCACTACATTTTGCCTCCCGGCTTTTTACCTTTCTTTATTCTGTGTTTCTTGGTTTCCTTCTTACTCTGTGGCTGGCTGTGTGGCTGGGTGGCCAGGTGGCTGTCTCCCAGCATCCTCCTCTCCTTCTTGTGCTTTTAACGGTGGTCCCGACGCCGCTTACTCTGTGCTTTCTAATTCCTTTCACGTTTGAGCCTGTGAAGTTTGCACTGCTGACAGACAGTTCCTGGCTCCTCGGCTGTCCTCCTGCCCCCTTGCTTATTGTGTAAACCAGCCCTGCTTTCAGCTCTGCCAACATCTCAACCGCACAGGGCTGGAGATGGCAGTTTCTTGGGTTCGAGCTGTAAAACAGAGCAGTGTATTGGAAACAAGGATGATTCTCCTTTTCCCTCCTAGGAAATGGTTTTCAGGTAAATGATTAGTAAAACCTCACCTGGATTTGATTTTCCTCTCATGGTAGGGTGCTGGTTTTCAAAGCGATTTCTTCTGACATATCCAGGTTAGAGGAAGCCTTTCAGTGTAAAGGGTGAGTTGGGAAGTTGACTCACTGCACATGGAACTGCTTCAGGACACATGCCCTGGACTACTGTTGGTGTTCTTACGGGTTTTTAGATTTGCTGACTGCAACAAAATGAAAGGCCCGTAGTTCTTACTGGGTCAAGATGTATTTTAAAATATCAACTTTTTTTTTCTTTTCTTTTTATCATACTTATAAAAATTCTTGGAGATTTCCCTGCAAACGTTTTAACCAGCTTCATTCCAGTAAGGAAAATCCAGAGTATGTGTTCCCTGGTAGTAACAGAAGCAATACATTCACTAAGTTTGCGGGTCGGAACTGTTGGAGGCAGAGTACTCTAAGAATGTGTTTTTATCTGAGGTGTCTAGAGGGATCATCAAGGACTTGGGTGTGTGTTTGTGTCTGTGATGTCGTTCTTGGTGCAGAATACAGTGGCTTGCGAGTAGGTTGTCAGTCTCTGACATGGGTGATTGGGGTGATGGGACAATATGGAGGATTTCTTTGTGGTGTCTGTGACTTGCATCACAAACCCAAACTGGCTCGAGTTGAAATCCTGGCTTTACCTCTCACCTACAAGCTACTCGAATTAACTGAGCCTTCTCCTTACCATTGCTTGCCCTCTACTTTACAGTTAAATGAGACAGTGTTTGACTTCACACCGTTGGCAGTGATTGACATCCCTGTTAGGGTCGCTGCCGCTGTGATGAAACAAATGACCAAAGCCCCTTGGCCAGGAAAGGGTTTTTTGTGCTTACACTTCCAAATATGTCTCAGGGAAGGAAGTCAGGACAGGAACTCCAACAGGGCAGGAACCGGGAGGCAGGAGCTGACACCGAGGCCTTGGAGGCGTGCTGGTGACTGGCTTGCTCCCCACGGCTTCCTCAGTAACAGTCTTCAAGCCTCTCTGCAGAATTACCCGCATGCCGCTGTTTGCTGCCAGGGAGGATGACGAGAGAGTATCGATTGAAACAGCTGCTTTAAATATTGGCCTGAAATAGTTTTCTCTGTGCCATAATTAACCAAATAACTTTTTTTTTTAAGTGGTAGCCCAGGGCCAGTGAGATGACACAGCAGGTCAGTGCGCTGGCCACAAAGGCTGATGGCCTGAGTTCCCTCCCTCGGACCCCAGTGAGGAACGGGAGGACTGACTCCTGTGACTTCCACATATGTGCGTGCACACATACAAATACATAAATAAAGTAAAATCAAATAACGACAAAATATCATCAAATGTTTGTTAAAACATATGAGACCTATTAAAATATTGTTAAGTATTCGTGGTCTAAATTTACAGATAACATAAATATAAGGTTAAGTTGAACCTATAGTAAAACTTTTTAACATCGCCTTTTTGGGTTCAGTTATGTCTAGAATAAGTTCTTTTGCTAGTATAAGAATTATATAAATTTGTAAGGTTTTTTTCTGACATTGTGGTGCTTCGTTTCTTGTATTGAAACCTCTTAAGCCTGTTTAAATAGTTGAAGTTTGGGCCTTGT